TAGGAAACAAAATTTAACACAAAAAGGAAACTTTTTTTGAAAGGTTATCGAAATCTTCAACAAGATATATTTATCGAACTAATGTCACTATACCTTCTGATCACCTTATTATTAGCCTTCTTGTTACCATTAATTTTCATGGTGTATGAACATGTTCATTTATCAGTTTTACTGCCACCGTTTAACATTTTGAAGCCTATTTATTCATATTTGGATTTTTCTTTGCAGAGGATAAGACGGGGACTCCTTTACATGAAAGCAGAAGAACAAGGTTGTCGATTGCAATGAGTGAAAGTTTGTAAAAGGTTTTATTAAGTCACAATTTGATTGATTACTGTTGGAAGATACTAAAATTATAGGCTATTCAATAATTTTTTGATCCACTCGTAGACTAGAGATTGTGGATTCATCAACCCCTTTCCCACCAAAGGTTAAAAAAAAAAATGTAAAAACAAAGGGTATAGAAATATTCTTTTTTTTTTTTCATTTAAAAACTCTATTGTACATATGGGTCTGACCCAAACTCAATTATAGTAATGAATTTTTTTTTCTCTTATGTTTTACTCCTCTTATTTTAAGTATCTGATCCTCTTCTTAGCAATGAATCCCCCCCCCCCCCCCTTTTCTCTCTCTTTCTCCAAAGCAGCATAACCTTCTCTCTCTTTCCCCAAAATAGATTTGAGTAAGTATTGGATGTAACGGTAATATCATGTTATTATTGATGACATGATATCACTAATTAATAATAAAATTTTAAGAATAATGTTATTTAGATCTAAAAATCTAATATAATTTAATGACACAATAATGTGGCTTTGGTGAAATTATTTGATCAATATCAAGTTATAATGTTTGATAGGACTCCCAATCAATCCAAAAGTTCTAGTAAATTAGGTCAGCAAATTAAGTCAAATTTTTAAATTCAAATAGTATTACTCAAATTTTAAATAAGTAAGGTGAACCTCACTTAGGCCTACATGGCATAAAGATAGAGAAATTATTTACTTACGTGACATGTTAATTATTAATTGGATAAATTACATCAAGTCCCCTTAAGATTTGTCACTAATACAGATAGACCCCCCTCAGGTATAAAATATAACACCTCCACCCCCTAAAGTTTGATATGTTGTAACATATGGCCCCTTGGTGTTAAAGTCTATCCAAAACATCGTTAAATCTCAATGAAGTCAACATATTTTTGTAACAAAATCCCTAAATTACCCCTAAAATATCCATCATTAAATTACTAAATATCTGTAAAACCCAAAAATTTTGAGTTCGTATAGAGAGAGAGAGAGAGAGAGAGAAGGCTAAGAGGTTTTGCAGCAAGTGGGGGCAAAGGTTGACAATTAGCAATTTTATAGGGTTTTGGGTGGTTGATTATTTAGTAGCAATCAATGGGACGAAGGGTGATAATGGTTGTTGTGGGGTGGTTGATCGGTAACAATCTGTGGTGGTGATTAGGTTTGAATAAAAGTGTTACAAAGGGAAAAAAAAAAGAGGAAGAGATTTTATTGGGTTGATCGGGTTGGTTAGTTTGAATCTTTAGGTTTGGGTTAATTTTTTTTTTTAATATTTTTTTATGAAAGTGTAGAATAGATATTTTGCAACTTTTGTTAGGGTTGTTAACTAGCTGTTGGGGGTCTCATTGTAATTTTTAAAATGTGAGGGGATCTTTTTGTTCAAGTGACAAACCCTATGGGGTCCAAATGTAATTTACTCTTATTAATTTTTGTAAAATTTATTTGTTAATTTGTTTTAATATTATTAATTTGTTCACAATTTCTTCGTTTTTGTCCGAAGGAGAATTTGTGACGATTACGGTCTCTGAGAAAAGAAACCTACCACCACTCAATACTTATAAAATATACTAAACAACTAACAAAATAAGTATTGAAGGACGCACATGCATGTATGTTTTCAAAGTCTTCTCGCTCTAAAATTTTTATTAATGCTATATTGCTCTCGCGTTGTCGCATGCTTCTGATTCCATCATCATTTTATTTTACCTAATTGACTAAACGGTCCCTTTACATTTTTTAAAAGCCAAAAGTTATGATATTGGATAAATTACATTTTATACTCTTAAACTATTATTTTTACTTTATTTTACAACCTTAGTTATAAATTTTTTTACATTGTATCTTAAAGTATCAATTTTATTTCTTATCACTCCAATTAATAACGAATGCCAATTTTTTACAATAAATGTGCATGTGAGTGGTCTCTGCTGTCAATAAACATCTGTTTATTATACATGTGCAGGTCAAAAATAAAAATAAAAATACTTATCCATAAGTATACCCTTCTTAAACTCTAAATTTTCTTCTTCTGGCTAGCCTTCTTTTTCTTCCTAGCAACTATTTGGTTTCAAAAGAAATAAAATAAAGTGATACAAGGTGCTTAGCGGGAAGTTCTATGAAGTTTTTCTCTTTCTTTTGAAAAATTTTCAAGTTTATCGTTATTTATTAAAATGATATGATATGAAATAAAATTACTAATATACTTTTGGTTCAATGATACTCTTTACTTTTTAAAAATTTTATCTTCTTGAGGTTAAGAGTTCAAACCCCATTTCCCGCTCCCCCTCCAAATATATATATATATATGAAATAGAATTAATATTTTAGTGTGTAATATGAGAAATTTTATAGTAAGTAAAACAAGAGTAATAATTTAGGGGAATAACATACAATTTACTCTATGATAAATTATACTTTGACTCATTCAATTATACTTCTATTTCATATTATAATTTTTATTATAATGTTTTTCACATTGTATTTCTTAGTCACACATTGTCTCCTTATTCTTTGAATAGAATGGTGTGCCTTGTCCATAAAGAAAATTATAAAAAATGAGAGGTATTACAATATTCGTAACACTCTCTTATGTTGAATATTTAGTTATAGTTATTGGTTTTCACATTACTTTACTATTAGATATTAAAGATGGGATTTTATGATAAAATTGAATATATTCTTTTCAAAACATGACAAAATGTTTAGTTTTTTTTTTTTTTTTTCTGATTAAACAAACGCTTAATGTTGGAGCACCATAAATTTATTCACACTAACAATGCATGACATGCGTTGCACGTAAATAAATTTAAATAATTTAATTATATATGTAATTAAATTAAATAATAAATTAAAAGTCAAATAATTAATTAATATTTTAATTGTTACTAAATTTAATTATTTATTTATTCTGTAAAACTTTGAGTACATAATCTATCATTTATTTAGATATCTTTCTGACCTTTTTAGACATTTGGACACTAATTATATTATAGAATTATTAATTTTTATTTTTTTAAAAATAGATTGATTAAATTGCTTATAATACTATTATATTATTGTATACCCAAAAATAAAATATAATATATATTTGACCATGAAATTCATTCTAATAACTATATTTGTATAATAATTTAACATATATATACGATTTTAATTCTTCATATAAATATAAAATTTTTTATATAATTGTGCAAATAATAAATGAATTCAAAAAAATTTAGAAATCTCTATAAAAAAAAAAGTCCAAAATAAATTGAACGTCAAATAGAAGTAAAACCAAAAAATAAATGAAAGTATATATATTATTGGATATAATTGACTTTATTATAATAATTAAGGTCAAAATAAAAAATTAAAAGTTTTTCATTTACTTCTGTATAGATATGGAAAATTGTATATAACTATACTACTAATAAATGAATAAGTTCAAAAAAATTTAAAAGTCTTTATAAAATAGTCTAAAATAAGTTAAAAGTCAAATAAGAGTACAAAATAAAAATTAGATAAAATTATATATATTGGTGGGTATAATTGATTTTATTATAATAATTAGAGATAAAATAAGAAATCAAAAATTTTTCGTAAATGCTGACATTTTTAAGTAGTATATATATAGATATAGTTAAAGAAACAATGTAAGAAACTCAATACTTATGGAGCAAAGTGGAACTAAACTCATAATAAAAGGGGTCAAAGTATAATTTAACATTATTACTATCAGTTATCGTACCCAGTTAAGGTGGAGCAGCGAGTCTAGCAACCAGAGACAGAGATCACAACGATGAGGGGCCCACACCCTCCACCATCATACTCCGGCATCGCTGCACCAGAAGACGACGGCGATGTCTTGAAAACTACGACGACCGCCGTTATTGGGCCCCGTAAAAAGGCCACCGGAGTCCGTCCCTGGCTTCTACTAGACTCCGCCGGCCAAGCCCAGGTGGTGGAGGCCGGAAAGCACGCTATCATGCGCCGCACCGGCCTTCCTGCCCGCGATCTCCGCATTCTGGACCCTCTTCTCTCTTACCCATCCACGGTTCTGGGTCGTGAACGGGCCATCGTCATCAATCTCGAGCACATCAAAGCCATTATCACTGCCCAAGAAGTGCTCTTACTCAATTCCAGAGATCCTTCGGTTATACCCTTCGTCGATGAGCTTCAACGGCGCATTTTGCGCCACCACCACGCCACAAAAGCTCAGGTTCTGTCTCTCTCTCTCTCTCATAGTAAATATCCATCACTTTTCTCAAACTTTACGAAATTTGGTATTACCACCCAATCAATTTTGGGGAAAATCAAAATTCTTACCACCCCATTCAATTTTGGGGGAAATCCGAATTCTCACCGCCAATTCAATTTTTGGGGAAAGTTGAATTTGTTATCTTGATTTTTGTTTAATTTGCTGTGGTGCAAAATTGGATGGTGAAGGAGGGTGGATTGAATGCGACTGATACGGATTGGGCGAATTTGTATGATGTGGAAGAGCCACAATTAGCGGCAACAAGCCCTCATAATTTTTCCGGCAGATTCCCGAAGAAGAATGAGGAGGGTAAGTCAGACGGAAAACAAGCAATGGAAAATCGAGATGGACTAAAGCTTCTTCCATTTGAGTTCGTTGCATTGGAGGCGTGCCTTGAGGCTGCTTGTAGTTCCTTGGATAATGAAGTAAATGAAACTACACTTTGTTCCTGTTCAATTTGGGGATTTCCCAATTTCCTTTTTCTAATTTCCTTTATTGTTTTTTGGGTTATTTTGAAATAGGCAAGGACATTGGAGCAAGAAGCTCATCCAGCATTAGATAGGCTGACTTCCAAGATTAGTACTCTCAATTTGGAAAGAGTTCGTCAAATTAAAAGCCGCTTGGTAGCGATTTCTGGACGTGTTCAAAAGGTTTCCTTCACTAAGCTTGTAACTCTGTTTAGAATGCATGGTTTAATTTTTGCTTGTGGATTATTTTGCTTTTAACCATTAATTTTTTTGAAATTTTGTTTACAAACAAGCGAATAAGTTAAGGTCAAGCAACAAAATTTAGGCATTATCATGAGTTCATATGATTCTATTGTTAGTCCTAGCTTTTAAATCTTTGGAGTCCAAAACAAAGCTTTTATATGTTTCAATCCGTTTCACTCCAATGTGAAATTTGAAGCTTGCATTGAAACATTAATGGAGCATTGACAACTTATGCATATGAATTTTATGAGTGTTGATTGAGGAAGTTATACTATAGGTGATTTAGTTCATTATCTTTATTCTTTTAGTTTTTTTTTTAAGTTTTTTTTTTAATTTTTGTGGTGGTAGTTTGAGATAGTGGACTCATCATGAGAGTTGTGGATGCATACTGGATTAATATTTCAATCTTGTTTAGCCATTTTATAGTTACTACAACGCAACGGTAAAATGTGAACATTTTCCTTGGTTTGGACTTTTGTGTTACCCATGCGCGTAAGTACTTTAACATGTCCTATGTGAAGTTCATGATATGATTTATGGATATGTCCAAATTGTCTCTCTCTGGCTCTCTCATTCTCTTTTTCTCACTTTCTCTTGTATCCTTGTGGTTTTACACAACCACAATCTAGCCAACCTTGTCGGATACAGGCCGATATAGTAGTGCGAACTAATTTCATGGCTATATAGACTGTCATGTAATGGGTTCAGCCCATAATGGCAAGATGTGGCAGTTAGAGGACTGTAGACTGTAGTTAATGGCCTGTTCGCATATATAACAACTTACAGCCACTAGTTCAACTCCACAGGGCATCCGACTCGAAATTGTCTTGTTGCTTCACCTTCTTTCTACAATTTAAACTTCGAATGGCCTTATCTAAAACTTATGTGCACGATCTGAGGAACAATTCTTCAAATTTGGTAGGGTGGGACTCTTGTGTCAGTTCGTTCGGCAGACTCAATCCTCTCATGTATGCAAAGTGAAATTTCATTTTAAAGATATATTTCAGATTGGTGATGAAAATCGTTCAGGTATTTGATTGTTTTTACATTATAGGCAGATGGGAGCCTGTTTTGGTATTTTTTGTTTTCGTCCTTTGGTAGTGTTTTGAATTCAAGCAAATCCATAATGGCGAGTTGGACAGCTGTTTGTAGATGTTAAATAACTCTAATGTTTGTTTTTCTGTTTTTGGTGTAGTGCTTTCTTCTTGTGTTGCACTACGGTTGGATAACTTGTCCACCTTCGCTCGCATGTTGATCTACATCCATTTTTATTAATACTCAAATCATTGTTTCCTGTCCCAAAAAAAAAAAAATCAAGCTGATCCGGTTTTGGCAGACTTGGCACTCTGTTTCAAGCAGATTGGGGTTGACAGTCTGTTTCAACCAGCTCTCCTATATGTCCTGTGGTTATGACTCACCAGTTAGATCCCTTCCCAAAACATCGTTTATTCTTTCAAAAATGGGAACCATTACCAATTAGGTGAAGGAATCAGCTATGAAGGTGTTCATTCATACGCTTCCTCTAGTCACTAGTGTGTATCACACACAGTTTTTATTGAACATTAGTTAAAATGTGGTAAATGGAGCTCAAGAGAGTCAAAATGTGCGTATCCTTGAGTTTTAGGGGGATTGCTTACTGATAGAAAAAATTCACAATCTCATCACCTGATTCCCGTTATGCATTGATGGTTATCCTCGTACCATTATTTTATGTAACTTGATATCAAGATATAAAACCTTGATGACCAAACAAAATGGAAATATGAGAAAAATTATTACAGTTTTTAGTGCTTGGTTCTCTTTTTTCTCAGCAAACTAAGCACAATCAATTTTTCAGCATCTTCAGTCTGATCCTTTTGCTCTCTTACTCCCTCTGTCTTTTTCTTGGCTAACTGTTCTGGTGGGTATTTTTCTTACCTCATTATATTTTACATGGAAGCAAATGAACGTGAACTACCATCCATTTAATAATGTATACCCCTTGCATCTCTTTTTTTTTTTTTGGGGGGGGGGGGGAAGTAACCCTTACATGTCTATGGAGTCTTATGAACGTGACACTTTCTGGTCTTTCCTAAAGATCATGCACTTCTATTTATTACCAGGTCAGGGATGAATTAGAGCATTTGCTAGATGATGATGAAGATATGGCTGAGATGTATCTGACTGAAAAGCTAGTCCAACAACACCTTGAAAATTCTTCTCTGTCCTCTATAAATGATCCAGATGGCATAGATGATGAAGTTCTTCAGTCAGATGTGGATGACAGGCATGTGGTCTCCCTTTTCTATTGCTTTGATAATGAAAATGACTAATCTCTTCTTGTTCACCATTTTCGTTTTTATTCACAACTTAAAGGATGAAATGTCTTTTTGTAACACTTCAGAGTTCCTGCTGAAATCTCATTGGAAGGTAATGGGGGTTCCATCAGTTACGAAGATGATCCTGAACATAGTGTCAACCATCAGGAACAGTTATTTGGCACGCATAGCGCACTTAGTAGAGACAGTCATGGGACCCATACTAGTACCACACGCAGTGCTATAAGCAAGCAACTTGACGTGGAGGAGCTTGAAATGCTTTTGGAGGCTTACTTTGTTCAGATTGATGGTACACTGAATAAGCTATCCACAGTATGATAACTCAAGTTCCTTCTTGAATTACTTCTGATTTATAGCACTTTGCCTTTCATACTTGAGTTTGACATATTGATACCGTCATTCTTGATTTTCTTTAAGTGGCTCTTTTCATTAACGATTGCACTGTTCACTTTTATTTTCCCAACTTTTGTGCTATAATATCTGGAAACTTCAAGCCCAAAATTTTTTTGGGTGTGGTTGGGGTGAATCCCTCCTAGACGAAGCGCATATCATTGAATGTATAACATAGACTTGAGCATTTCACTAATCTTCATACTAAGTTGACCCTTTTAAGATGAATTTGGTTTGAGAATTGTGTGGTTTTGCTTGGGATTTAAGGTGGTGGTGGGCTCACCTGTTGGGAAGTTGTGGATGTGTTGGGTGGTGGTCAGTTCAGGTTGTCTCTTTTTGGGGGGAGGAGGTGGGTGGGCGAGAAAGAAGGAATAGATTTGCAGTTTTTCTAGTCTATCATAATTTATGTTTTTGCTGAACTTTGTTTTTTTGAAAGGGGAAATATAGGTGTTTTTAGAAAAGTCTTGATGAAATCAACATCATGGGGTAATTAGTCAACTAACAGGGTAGTTTATGTTTACCTCAAGGGTAGTATCTTAGTTTGCCCATGAGATAAGCGTGTTATTCAGCTCCTGAAAATGTGGCTGGACCAATGTTACCTAGATCTTAGGTTGATTTGGTACGGATACACGGTGCAATGGGGTAGGCTTATTTGGTACGCTGTTTTTCGTCGTGGTTCGTTTCCTGTACGATTGCTTTCTCTATTATATGAGATTATATATAATTATACATTCATCTACCATAGTTAACTAATATTTATTTTAGGGTTTGAGTTACATTTTGAGGTTGAATATTTGAGCAATCTAGATCGCAAACTTATACCCTGTTTTGGGTCGCACAACCGGGCTCGTGGGAATGTTGGGGATCTTCAACCCCGGTATCTATGGGGTGGACTGTATTTGGACTTGGAGCATGACAATCAGGAGAGTAAACAAAACCCAGCAGTGGAAGTTGTGCTTACTAAGGTCCTGCCCCGGTGATATTATGATACTGCATGAATATAAAGCATGCTGCAAATGACCACCACAACACTTTATCAGTTCTTATTTTTCTTTCAGTAGCATCTCTTCTAACTATCCACTTCTCTTAATATCCAGCTAAGAGCTCACCCCCTCCCCACCACAACGAAGTTATCAACCACATTCTTCAATTTATTTGAAGAGTGGATGACCTAAATGTGAACGTTTGATAAGGACTTAATTTAGCCTTAGTATATCTCCAAGTGACCAAGTAGTATAGATCCTCAATTGCAAATAGTCTGTTTTGGAAAGACTATTGTGAGACTGCTTCAGAAAGCGGGAACAATGATGCTCATATTGCTTTGTACAATAGTATAGTAATTATTTCTTTTATGAGTAAATTCAGGCCATCATAAGATTGAAATAGCTTATATGATAGCGTGTATATATTTCTTCAATGACCTTGGCGATCAATTTAATGGCCTATATTTACCATGAGCTCTTGCTTACCTTTCGTGATTGAGTATTTTTGCCAATCATGGTAATGTTTTCTGCAGATTTTGTTTTGTTGTGTGTGCATTTTGGTACTGAATAAGTACCTTGCCAGACAGGACATTCCACAACACTAATATGAAAAGTATACTTGTACCTTGCACACATGCTCAAAGTGATACACAGGGTATTTCAGCTTAAGTTCCTCCTGATACATTGGTGATTTGTGGATACTGTCATGTGTACTCACACAGTGTTGCTGTGTCCTCTTGAGTGTGTCATATATGGTGATTTCATATGCTTTTTTGATGCCTTATTGATATAGCAATATTATGTTTTAGTGTCTTTATAAATGTGACATTACATATCCCAAACACTGCATGGCAATACATTTTCTGAACGTATTTTTGTTTGTATATACATGAAATTGATATTCTGTCGCTTGTGGTTTCCCTTGGAAGCTGAGGGAGTATGTTGATGACACCGAAGACTACATCAACATCATGTTGGATGACAAACAAAACCATCTACTACAAATGGGAGTCATGTTAACAACTGCAACCCTAGTGGTGAGTGCTTTCGTGGTTGTAGCAGGCATTTTTGGTATGAATATCAACATTGAGCTGTTCAATGATGAAAAAGCTGGGATGCCAGAGTTCCTCTGGACTATTGGTGGAGGTGCCACTGGTAGCTTTTTCCTATATGTGATCGCAATTGCCTGGTGTAAGCACAAACGATTGCTAGAATGAGTATATGCGATGGAATGTAGGCCCTTTTAATTGTTCGTAACTGTTCTGTTGCTTTCATGATTCAAATACAGAAGGTTGATTTTAAGATAATCTGTTGGCTATTACAAAAATAAAAATCTATACTTAAATAAAATTATAATGTAATATGTTTCCATTACCATACATGAAAGAAAGATGTCATGTACTTTCTCCTGTCCATGCTGTCACTTAAATTTACGTTGCATTGGACTAACACTGGATTTTTGGCATTATTGTTTTCCAGTCGCATCTGGGATTTTGTTCACGGGCCATACCAATCTATTACTTGTTACCTCGACAAATCCCCATCACTTGTTTCTGCACTGCATGCACCATAAAGCACCATTATTAACATATCAAATTACAATATGTTTCGAGAAATCAATTTTACTTTCAAACGCCCACACCCTCCTCAAACTTGATTTCGCAACACGTTCTTAGCTTGCAAATGACTTCATGATTGGGGTTCTTGATGAAAACTATTGGAAACTTAGTGACTTGAGCTCTATACCTTCTTTGATAGCAAGAATTTTGGGATTATGGGCTTGTGATGTTTTCAAATACATTGTATTTTGGTATTGCTGAAGTTGTTATGCATCATTTCCTTCACTAGGGAGCATGTGGTTGTTTTTTGCTGTTTGTGATATAATCTTAGGGATGTGTTTGGAAGAACACTCCTAAGGATCTTAGCATGTGGTCCTATGGAATTATGGGTTGTGTCATGCGGGTCTTTACTGTCATGATGGAAGCCAGCTGTCTCAATGGGGTTGAGGAGATCTCCATTGGAAAACTCTGAATCTGGTCAACATTACTATTGTCTGATGAATAGTTTCAACTTTACACTTCAAGGTAATATTGGGATGCTACTATTTAACATCAACAGATTTCCAGATGTTCACAATTAGCAATTAATCTTCAACATATTGTATTAAGTTTGCATCATTCTTCATTACGACCTAATTTACTAGACACAAGTTGTTCATAAATTGTTGCTGATGGATTGATGGTAGAGCCCGTCAAATTCGGGATCCACTTCTAGTCCGACGGTTGCAGTGAATTGGGTTTGAGTAGCATTACACTTTCTTTTTTCTTTATTTATGTTCAATGGTCAGAGTATTCGGGTCAATTTATATGCACTTTGATTAATCTCTTCTTTGATCAGTCATTTACGAAGGAAGAAAGTTTTTTTTTTTTCAAACGAAAATTCAAGCTCCCATTTAAAACCCATCATCTTCTGGGTGTCAGTAGTTATGATTAGTATTACACTCAAATTGACGGAAAAGTTGATCACGGGCTCAAACTATTGCAAAAATATGTAAAAAAAAAACAATTTCTTCAATTTTTGCCTCGATTATATCATAAGATTGAATGATCAATTCTTTTCTGGACACTCGATTCGATGTCTGAACCACCCCAAGTAAACTTTGTGGATGTTCACCTTCACTGATTAACACCACATGCCTGTGGGCTTGTGGCAGATTTTTCAGTTAAATTTGGTCAGAAAGGTGGAGATAAGGACTAGAATGAAGCCATTTACAGTTTTATGTAGAAGAAGGCTCTTGTCATGAGAAATGGGGACAGTCCTAGGTGAAAATTGAATTGGACACAGGAGGGAAATGATATATTTAATCTGAGAAACAAACTCTCAGTGTTACAGGGGATTGAGGACTTTGTTTTGGAGGTAGTTGGTAGGGCAAAAAACGTTTTTCCCATACCCTCCTTAGATTCTTATCCTAACATGATTGAATACAACAAAACAAAGTCTAATCATCTTTTTTTTTTATATGTTTGTTTACTTTGTCTTTAGCTTCCCTCTATTTTGTTTGAACCATCCTGATCACGTGGTTTTTGAATTTTTTATGGCTGTTAAAGTTGATACTCACACAATCACTTACAAATCACGTGCATTTAATTAACAATAACACCTCTCGCAAAACTCAAACTCAGTATCCAAAAAGTATCGACCAACTGAAGTCTTGTGATCTGATCTACTCTATATGTGAAGGACAGGCAAGTTAAGCTTAAAATCTTGGCATTCTAAATTCTAAGAGCATGCTCTTCTTATTCATTTTTTTTTTTTCATTTTATTTTGGTTTAATGGTTAGGAGTATTGGAAATCCAATTAAAGGTAGGTCATCCGCACCAAGATTAGGATATGCATGAGGGATAAATTCCTCATAGTCTGTCCCAAGGGATTGCCATAATTCGAACTCAAAACGTCAAATTTACAACTTATCCATATTACCACTTAAACTAACGTGAAACTATTGGTCCAAATGAGAATTGAAATTGAGCGGGAATAATAGAATATATAAAGAATTGTGAAGGGAAAACACCTAATAGTGTGCATGACATCAAGTCCAGTGACAGCTTCAAAGCAGACAGACTAGAAGGAAGCAAGGACACTAACATAAAGACTATATAAATATTTTTATAATAGGATCCTTTCAAATGAGATAAAGAGGCCATATTAATAAATGGGGGGCATGTTGCATTGGGTCAGGAAGATCTGAGGCAGGATCTCTGTACTTAAAAAAGGGTCATCAAAGATGCATATGAAATATTCCAACATTAACTTTGGCATTTCCTATCCATCTCTGCATTTTGAGATGACTCCCCATTGCTCTACACACTTCTCTACAGGGATGTTAATGAAATGGATTCAGACTTAGATTACGACACATCCGAATTACTCCGATTTAGAAATATCGGAATTATCTGATGAATATTTATTTCTACGGTCAATCTCCCTGATCAATAATAACCAAAAAATTGATTCAGTTCAAAAATATTCTTAGCATTGAATTTAACTCAGTTTCATCATATATGTATGTGTATAATATATATATGTTTGAATCCAATGTTGATAAAATCAAATTGGCAATTCTTGTCAAATTCCGATCATTGACAGACCTACTGTTGTCATCCTTTTTTTATTTTTTTGTGCTTATATTAAACCCAAAATTATGATTCATCATGAGAATAAAACTATCAGAATGAAGGCTTGTCTGGATGATAAGAGACATTGAGGTCTTGGCTGTATTAGAGCCAAAGCCTTTTCTAAGATTTTGTTCTACTTAAGCAGATATATGGTTTTGACAGAATCCCACCTAAGCAAATACTTATTTAACCTTTATTTGGATCATGTTTTGAGCAAACAGCCACAAAAAAGTTAGGCACTTTTTGTCCTGTTTTTGTTTGAAAATTTAAAAGAATATTACTGCTGCCATTCTAGCACAAAATTTTATTATGAACTTTCAATTCTTCTACTACTTGGTAGTTGCTGATTTATAATGGCTTTGTTGATGATGGTCATAGCTCTCTCTCTCTCTCCCCAATGTAGTTCAGAGATTTAGTTGAACATGATTATGATGTCAATTACCCGTCGTGTTTATGTTTGTTCTGACAAGTTTTACGCTAACTGTCAGATGCAACCCTCCTCTTTTATCCANATTTAGTTGAACATGATTATGATGTCAATTACCCGTCGTGTTTATGTTTGTTCTGACGAGTTTTACGCTAACTGTCAGTTACCTGACGCAACCCTTCTCTTTTATCCGNTTTATGTTTGTTCTGACAAGTTTTACGCTAACTGTCAGATGCAACCCTCCTCTTTTATCCAGACTTGGATTCAACTGTGCACAGAAGTACACAGGCTGAGTTTGTCCATGACATGTCAAAATAATATATATATATATATATATAGGAGAAGTGTGATACTACCAGAAACCCATAAAATTTCATTTTATTATGCAAATGCACTTTACCCACATAATTTATGAAGCAGAAAAATTGGTTTTTTACTCTAGTGTAATTAGCTTCTGATAGCTCTGGTTTCTCTTGTGGGAATTTATTCTTTTGAGGGCATTAATATCCATGGTTATAAATGGAATTAGCTTGACAAATTTTCTCAGATTCCCAAGTGATGATGTTAGAAGAGCATGGGGCTCCATAAGGGACAAGGGCTGGACATGGTGGCAGATGGTGCCCAAAAAGGCTCACAGCTCAAATGTAGCCTCTGTTCATTGACAAGAAAATTAAATTCTAAGAAAACAGGAAAATTTATTTCCCATTTTTTTCTCTCAGGTTGTTTCCCACTGCATTGACAGCCAAAAAAGAAAATAAAGGAAAAGAAAAGAAAAGAAAAGAAAAGAAAAAGGAAAGCAAAATGATCTCTTTTGGGATCCAGTTCCTTTTGCTCTTTCTAAACAGCTTCGACAATCAGCAACATCACATCCCCAACCTCTTCCTTTCAAACCAGCTGTTGAGTATTAGATACAATCACAAACGACAAAAAAAAAAATGTTAGCCACCCCTACAAAATCAAATCTTTTTTCAGTACCCTATTTTCAAACTTTTTCTTTTCTCCCAAACCATGATTTCTAATTTTTTTTTATGTCAATCTACCGTTATTTATATAAAAACGTTGTTTAAACAAACATGCTTTTAATAGAAAACTTGGAAAGCATGCTTTCTAAACTCGCTTTGATATTAAAGATCACGCGTTTAAACTATTTTCATATAAATTATGGTAAATTGAGAAATAAATTAGAAATCACGATAGAAAAGTAAAAACATATTCATGTATAAAGTAAAGATGCATTGCAAGTATAGAGACCAAGAACAGTGACTTAACCGATTTTGCTGAAGTTGGTTTCCAGACGGATGAGACTGGAAGAAACCAAAATGCTCCTGAAATGCAGATCTACCCTGAGAAATTCTATTGGTGGTTAGCTTATATATTCCACCAAACAAAGTATTTAGATTTCAACCCTGTAAAAAATATGCTAAATACCTCAAAGTGAGTTGTAGAATAGCCCTGTGAAAAGTCTAATATCTTCTCCATTGAAGCTTGGTTATCATTGAGTGTGCAATTGTTCTGCAAAAAAAATATCAAGAACACTTGAAGTTAAGATAGGCAATGGCAATCAATAGTTGGTTCATTGAAACACTATAGAATGTTCAATAAATCAATTTGTTCATGTCACAATAGAGAGTGAATCAAATGGAACAAAATTTCGTTTCAATGCATAACTGTTTTCAAAAATATTTCATAAAGAATGAATATAGAAAACAAATTTGAGATTTTGAGCCCAAAACATTGACCGAAACGTGAAAATTTTAATTGGACATCACTTGCTGTTTCTGTGAACTTACATTGGGGAAGTTGAAGAGAGGAGAGCTAGCAGTGTCATCAAGGAAAGAATTTTGTTCTTGACCCATTCGATGTCGAGTTTCTTTGATTTTCTTCCTTTTGGTGCTGTTGTTAGGCAATGTGGCATCAATGGGTGCATTGTAAAAGCACCCCTTATTGCCATAGATTTCATCTTCATGGAAATGTGGTGGACCAGAAGATGCATCAGAAACCATGGACAAGTCCTCTTCCTCATCCTCATCTTTTTCTCTCTCTTCTTCATTGAAAACCTCCCTTCCATGGTCTCTGTGTGAAGGGTTTTGAGAGAGGAAAGAGTGTTCCAAGTACAGAGTCCAACCAGACTCACATCCACTACTGCATTCTGAACCACCCAACAAATCATTCATTATTGATGTTTCTAGCCTTTATGAATATAAACAACCAGGTGGATTCTCTTCTATAAGCTTCTCTTATCAGCAAGAGCTCTCTCTCTCTAGTGTAGGAATTGGGGGGTGTGTGTGTGTGTTTATATGAAGAGTTGAACAAGTAGGGTAGAAAGAGTGAAGTTGGGGGGGGGGGGGGGGGGGGGGAAAAAAAAAAAAAAAAAAAAAAACCGCCGAT